ACTGGTGTAGATTCTTAACAAAATTTCCTGGTTTGGCTAAAGAAAACCCACAAAGTTCATCAGCTGATAGTACAAAAAAACACTTTCATTTTTTTTTATAAAATAAAATTATAGCATTGATGCCTATCACAGGAGTTAGGACAAGCTTTACAACATACGAGCATGCTGGTTTGCTCACCACATGGAGATCAATAACATGTAAGGCAGCAAGAACTCCTCATCCCACAGCAGAGGCAGAGGTGAGCGCCTTGAACTAGAGCAGTGAAGACATCTGGAAACTTCCCACCCTCCCCGTGCTGTCCCAAATGGTGAAATACCACTCACTTTGCACAAGTCAGCCCACGCTCCTGTCGCATTGCCAGATGTTGTCATCCAGCTGCTGCTTCCAGGCTCTAAGAAAAAAAAAATAAAAATCCAATTAACTACGTGTGTGTGTGTGTGTGTGTGTGTGTGAGCTTTGTTAGAACAAGCACAGCCAAGTGTGACACCTTTTTTTTTCTTCTGCGTTAGTGGAATAGTAATTTCAGGACCATCGTCGTCTCTTTAGCGCAGCAACATCTGCTCCTGTTCGACAGAGATGCTTCACCCCAGGCAGCCCATCCCCTCGCTCGTACACGTCGTACCTGAGAGAAGTCCTTTGGAGTCACACCGAAATCAAATGTGAGCTGATTCTTTATTATTTCCTTCCCACACCAATAAGTGGCAGAGTTCTTGTGAATTGGCATAAGTGGACACTTCTTTTTAACAGTGACGGAGCTGCTTTCAAAATACAATAGTTTCATGGAGGAAGATCTAAGGGAGGAGCTCTTGTATTGAACGGCTTGTTGCTAATATCCAATATCCAAGGACACTCGCACAACATCTTCTGAAAGGCAGAAAAACATGAGCATCCCGACTACTTCTTTTTAGTCTGTGAGAACCAGAAATATTTATAAAATCCACTATTTATGTAGCATACACTCTAACAAAGCTATCGCTGAAACGTGTAGCTCCTGCCATCTTCCCAGAGAGCAGCAATGCCAGGTGTGATACTGCAGGAATTAACCCTGTGCCCTGGAGACCTAGGGGGTCCGACCCCAAAGCGTCCTGGAAACACCAGTATTTCATTATTGTTTCCACAGGGGTTTTTTTTTTGGGTCGTAATCTGCTTAAGGTAAGTCACCCTGTGGTTATTACAGAGCACTCCACTGAAAATGTCCTTCAGCTACTCATCTGGCAAGGATGTAATTTAGAGAGCTGTCACCTCGATAGTGCTCATCACGTTACGGTTGCTAGAAAGAAAGCTCCCAGCTATTTCCAGGCTTGTGCTTCATGTATTGTATTATTGAAGAATTCTTGGATCCTTCCACTTTCTAAGCATGTGAAAGGTAATTCGATCTGACTACTACACATGGCTGCAGCCACGTAACTGTATTTAAAATACAAAGATCAGCTACTAAATGGTGGAAGAGACTGCAGAGAGGCCCCATACACTTGCTTTTCGAGAAAGAGGACGGAGAAGGAATGAAATTAAAATATAATTTTGCAGTTTTTCTTCTTTCTCTTTAAGACCAAAACCAGTGCCTTCTGAGAGGAGAACAATGAGGCCAGGTGGGAATTCACCCAAAAAGCCCACCTTGGCCTTCGTCAGAACGCGTTCTCCCTGGGGTTGGCTATGTGGGCTTGGTGCACAAGGGCAAACACAATGGTTGCCTGGCCAGCTGGTGAATTAATAAAGACTGGATATGAAATGCTGCTGTACTGCAAGGTATTGAAGGCCATGCTGCCTGTCGTTGGAAATGTAATTGCCTCTGGATTTGCGGTGGACTTACAGACCTGGCCTCCATCAGCCCCGTAGCTGGCCGGTGGCCTTGCACTCAGGTTAATCTGGGGAGCTGGAGCACAGCTTGGGCTTGTACAGCTCCTTCAGTGCTGCATCATAAATAACTGCAATTTTAACCACGTGGGTAAAGAAATATTCTTTCAAACAGCTGGGATTATTCTCTAGTACCTGTAGCTGTCATCTGGAGTGGGATTCACTGGGCACGTTGTCTGTTTCTGCTGCTCCCTTACAGCAATAAATATTTGTTTGTCTTACAGAAAAGCATACGAGCCAAAGCTGGAGGCATCTGCACAACCACCACTACCTTTTAACCGAAAGTGCTGTATGTTGCTAAATTTCCCAAGTCCTTTGTATGCTGAGCTTAGAGAAACGGGAATGCCAAAGTTTGTGTTTGATTACAACTCTTAATTACACATCTGGGCGAGACAGTTTTATGAAGTTCATTAACCTGTTACTTGACCTTGATTTAATCTCCGGGCTGTGTTTTTGGTCTGCAACGATGGATTCAAAGGCCATTTTTGCTCTGCTAAATGAAGCTGGACCCACGCCAGAGGCAGAAGACACAGGTTTAAAAAAAAAAAAAACAGGAGTTGACTCAAAGCCCACAGAAAGAAACTCACTGATTCCCACGAGGTTTGGATCAGCCTTGGGATGAGCTACTTAACTTGAACATTGTGCGGGGGGAAGTATAAGGTCCTGTTTGCATCTGGCTGTTCTCTGGTGTAGTTCCCCTGAAACCTGAATATTATTAATATCTTTTAAAAGCCTGAAGAAAAAGGAAACGCCCTTATTAATGAAGAAAAAACAGCTGATATATACACATATATATCTATATATACATATGTTTATGTCTGCATATATCGTGGATAAGTAGATATGTATACACATATTGCTGTATACATATGTGTATGCACATATATAGTGAAAAGTATGAATATATGTGCATGTTCATAAAATGTTTATATATATATATATATATACACACACTTATGTAACATGTATAAATGCAGTCACAGACAATATATCTCTCTCAAAAGCAGATTTTAGCCGTACATATGACATGAAGCACCCTGCTGAAAACGGTCGGGGTTAAACTTCCAGTTTGTTAAGGAATTACAAATGCAGGATGTCTCATCAAGAAGCAGCTTTCCTTTTGCTCAGCCATCCAAACAATGATGCAGATGCAAAACAGACACTGGCTCGGTGCAAAGAGCTAGATGACCCTGGGCCCTGCCTCTGGCCACGCTCGGCACCAATTGGTTTCGGAGCAGTTAGCATGCAGGGTGGTGTTTTCAATACTCCCTCCTCATTTTCAGCAGTTTGTTGGGTTTTTGACACCATTCAGCTGCCTACTGGGGCTAACCCACAGCAAGATGCTATTCATAGTAAGTCCAGTATTTTAATACTAGGAAAATTTAAATATACCAAACAAATTTATGATTTTTCCTCAAGTGCTATTTTCTTTGGATTTATTTTTTTAAGAATACCCAGGACAGCAGTCAATAAAGTTCAGAAAAAGGATTTTGAAAGTATAACTTTATGGCTTTCAGGGTAGATGTACCTTCCGTGAGAGTTTTCTGGCGATGGGCAGCAGCGTTACGTCAGACCTCTGGGTGTTGTTATGCTATTTTACGAGTGATTTTTTTTAAAGCGTTAGAAAGTCAGAGAGTGATAGTCAAAAAAATCCTATCCTCAACCCAAGTAATGTGTTTGTTGCTGCTCTCTTAATTCTGTTGAAAAGTGCCCCCACTGCTCAGCACGGCTCATGGACTTTAATGGGACTTCCTGTGGTGGGAGATGTTTCATAACACGGGTACGTATCTGACCCGAAGAGAAGCATTGCATGAAAAGCTGCTGTGGACCTGCACAGATACGCGCCTGAATTCCGCAGGTAGCTGCTTTGGGCTCCAGCTAAAGACTGATGTTGCACCAATATTTTGGGAGTGAGCTCTGGGCCAGGCTCCGCTGGGCTGCATGTGCTTGTACAAACTGCAGGAGGGGGTGCAGGAAGGAAGGGACACGGCAGGGAGCACGTCCCTGAGGCGGCCAACACGTGCTTGAAGCTGTGATTTTGCAGCCTGCACAAGTTCCTCATGAATTAGGATCGTGGGGACTCGGTAAAAGCCTTCCCCTGTGGCTGAAATGCAGGTAGCTCAGCTGATGCGCTGCGCCTCTCAAAGCTGAGTAAACAGAACAGTGAGGTTCCCCAAATAAAACTAATAAGAAAACCGATGAAAAGAAGCGTTTGGAAGGCTTCGGCTGTGCCTAATGTTTCCCACATCAGTCGGGTGGGCACAAAGGACACGGTGTGGGAGGGAATGGCTCAAAGGCTCAGCAACCTGCGCTCCCCTCTCTGCAGCGATGGGACGTGTCCTGGCAGCTGGTGTGGTTTCTTCCTTCAGACAAAACTATTTGTCAAAACGGTAATTTTAATCCTAAATGAGGATTTTTCTCTGGATTGCCAATTTCATTATTTTACAGGGAAGCTTCAATAAATTCAGTCCTATAATTACACTGAACCACCTAGGAGATGGTGGCCACTTAGCTGTTTTACCACAACATTTTAAAGCAGAAAAGAATCCTTTAAATTAATCTTAAGCACAGCCACTAGAGTATTACTACCTCTGACAGCAGTTTATTCCCATCTAATTTAATTGTAACCATGCTTTACCAAACTGTTTAGATCATATGCTGCACTCTTGGGATACAAAGAGTCTTTAACATGAATTACTATTGTAGTAAACATACAACATTCCCTTCAGTTAAATAAATACTCAGAGACCAACGTTCATTAGTTAAGCTTGAAACTTTAGGTTAAATTTTACAAATTAATATCAAAATACTGGGGAACACAAATGTATGACTAAAGTCTTACCAAAAAAAACCCTTTAAATTACTTTTGCAAGTATCTTACTATTTTATAAAGTAACAACTTGACACATCGTTTCATGCTAAATCAGTAATATGGAAACGTTTACTTTTACGTCATTTGGCCTTAAATACTTCTTGTAGTAGTGACTTACGTAGGCATAATTAAAATTAAGATGAAAGTTAAATGTAAGCATATTTATGGCCCTAAATCTATGGAAGTAATACCAGCCATATCATCATCTTTTTTTTTTTTTTTTTTTTTTTTTTTTTTTTTTTTTTTTTTTTTTTTTTTTTTTTTTTAATAAAATCTGGCACTCTAACTCAGCTAAAAATTCAACTCTGAGAAAACATGGAGTTTTACATTCTTGTCTCAGTTTTGAAAGATGAAGCTACACCGAAGTGCCATACTGTTTAAAATACAGATTTTGCATCACGTGGAGACATTGTAGTTAGCCTTCAACCATACTGAAATGTGGCTGCTTTATACACATTACCCCTTAAAGTGAACTGAATGTAACTAGTATGGGTTTATAGTAAGAAGACTTCTGTGATGACAGAGGAACTTTGCAAAGTGAAAACGTGAAAGATGGTTTTTAAACAATCAGAAAATTGGGCTGTATGGCTGGTGTTATTTTGCAGGCACTTTAGCTCCATTGCACGGTGTAGTTTTTGCCTAACTCAAGTTGAAGCTTGGTGATTGTCAGGACCTGTGAATAAAACAGACAAAATGAACAACTAGTGACACTGCCCTGAAGATCCACTGCTTTCTGTGTGTTCAGTAGAGGTAGTGGCTTCTCATTTTAAGTTACAAGAATTTATTCCTCTCCCTTTGCCTCTGTGTTTGTATCAATATAAACATAACAGTTTAAGCAGCATAGATTTGAGATGTCTGATCGTGAGGCTCTGATCCCTTCCCTTTATTCAGAAACCCTTTTAGAGTTAAAGTTCTAGGGAAAGGGGAGGAGAAGAGAGGAGAGGGAGGAAGGCAGGCAAAACTTGTAATTAAACTGTCCATATGAATTCCTTTTTTTGTTGTTTTCCTCCATCTAGAAGTCAACACCAGAATGAAATACTTCCATTCTCTTTTACATTTCTAAATCATCTTTTTGGTTATGTACAAAAAAATAGTTCTGCCTACCCACTGAAAGAGAGGAAGAACTAAGACTTAACAGAATACTGAATTGCAAAGGGAGGGTGGTAAGATCCCAGTAACAGAAAAGGTTAAGCAGTTTTCCTGTCAGAAAAATGGCAAGAGCGAGCTCCTCAGCAGTTCTGTTCATACTTGAAAGATGCTCCATAGAGGAGCCATCTGGAACACCGGTGCAGTTACACACATTTATTTCAGCTGCCTCTAGGAGAGCTTGACTTTATTGTCCAGAGAGGCTGGAGGGGGCAGTGCCCTGGACAGCACGACCCGTGAGATGGAAATCCCGGTGCTCTGAAGTCGGTGGAATTTATGCCAATAACTTGAGAAGCGTGATTTGAGCTGTACAAGTAGAACCCCGTGCTGCAATGCCTACAGCCGAAATGTGACATGACAGAGCAAGAAATGGTGGTAGGCAAACGGGGCTGGGAAATGAAAATGTTGTCAGACAAGGCCGACAACAACAGGGTCATGTAGAGACTATGAAAATACTTGTAGTTGCTTTGCCTTCCTTCAAATCTCACAGATTGCAAGTGAGCTATTAAGAAGAGTGGAAACCAAGCACAAAACAAGATCCAGCACTTTTCCAGTCAGAAGTGGTTTGGGTTCCTCAACAGCAATTTCTACGCTTAAAAGCTCTACTACACTTACTGCACAATGTTTACGGTATGTTACATAATGGATTTTATAATCGTCACCTGACGGTAGCTTATATATCTTGCTGAAATATATTTTAAATGTGATATTACAGCCGAGAGCTGAATCTCCAATGGTTTAAGAGCACATACACAGTTGTGAAGGTGGCATTACCCTGCAAATGGCATCTCACCTTCTTGGTGTTACTGTAATCCACAGTGTGAGACGACGCGATTGTCCCGCCGTTCTGCGATACGGTCACCTGCTTAACACTGGTGGGCACCCCCAGGACTTTAATTTCAGTAAACATTAAGTTGTTTGGATCAGTGTAACCATTATGCAGAACCGTGATATCTAAAACATTCTGAAAGGAAAAAAAAAATATCGGAGATTGTCATTAGACTGGTACAAGTCTGCTTGAGCTTTTCAGTCATTTTCCTCTCTTCCTACTTTTTTTTTTTTTTTAAATACCTGCATGTTGTTATTTATTTTCCAAATGTTGAAGACTCGAGTTTCAAATTAAAAAACCTATAGTTAAAAATGTAATAATAATAATCAAAAGTGATTATTCAAAAACTATGGCTAACATTACTTACCTGATTAGAAGTAAATGATGTTAGCAGATAGACACCATCTTCATACGCGTCTGTTAAAAAGAATAAAATATAATGTATTCACTATTCACTTTAACACATTGTCAAAATTTCAGTTCAAGCATTGTGTGCTTATACTGTACAGAAACATGCAGTATATCTCTCTATACATAACGTTCTGTATTTCCAGAAGACATATGCTTTTAGACATAAAATACTTCCATTATAGGGATGTGTGCTATTTAAACGAGGTCAAAATAAGAACATTTTAGAGGTAAGATACGAAGGAAGGCAAACAAACAGCATTAGGAAGATCAAGAGTGTTAAGAGCAGCCGGAGAAAAATGTTTCTCAGTGAAGAAGGCCTTTCCCACATCCACCTCTACTCACTGTCCAATTGCACAGGATCATGATATAAATCTGTTCTCTATTTTATCACTCCTGTTACTCAGCACTAAATGCTCTCAAAGTGGTGCTGGTAATCATGGGCGTTGTAGGCTCTTGCCTTTCTGCACTCCCACAAACAGATCCCAGGCACCCTGGTGAGATGGACCTCGCAATCGGCGATACTTTCATTTCTCATCAGACTTCCATTGACAGCCACCGGTTCTGAATTCCAGTGCTCTGTGTGAAGCACCTCAAAATATAAATGCAAAAATCCCTTCACACACCCTTATGCAAATAACACCATTTTCTGCATTACTTGCTGTAATCTTGGTGAAAGCTTATTGTTATTACAAGGGCAGTATGCTCTGGGTGGAAAGGATAAATGGCACTGAAGTGTCTCTTATCTGAAGGCGCTTTAAGTTTAGTAATGTTGAGGAAATTAGTTAAAGCTTCTCACGTAATCTATGGTTATGGTTCCCACAGGTTTGAGGACAAATCTTTGTGATCTGTGTTGTCTTAGGTCCAGAGCACAATTTCAGTTATACAGCATATTAATTCTATAAATCATAGCATTATGTGGTCTAAATCAGGAAAAATCGTTTTACTCTCATGCTAATCTGAAGGTTTAATTTCAGTTTCGTCTCTGAAGGCACGCTCAGATGTGTCCTCCAGAAATGCAACTGCCTTGGCCAGAGTCCATCCTCCCCATCTGCTCCTAATGCTCCTCCTCGAGCACCCCACGTTACACGGAGGATTTCTAAGGCAGACACAACCACCAGCACTTCTTTTCCAAAGTGACGGCCAAGCAATGAACTTTCTTACAGCTTGGAGCCTCCACTTTGGCCACTGCGGTATTGCTAAGAACTGCTGGCAGCAAAGCTCGTAAGTCAGCCACTGAGCATTATCTGGTTTTCAAGGGCTGCTGCAGTTTCTTTCATCTCTGCCCAGGTCATATCCCTGGGTTGTGTTTTGTGTGCTTTAATTTGGGCTGTGAATATCTCCAGGGGTGGGGGCTCAGCAGCCTCTCGGGGCATGCAGAGAGCCATCCTCACAGCAGAAAGAGATTGTGTGTGGGCAAGAGGCACCGTACGTACCAATGCGAACCCCATCATCCCAGTACAGCTGGCCTTCTGCAAACAGAGCGTCGGTCAAAGCCACAGTGAGGCCCATCGGGTTTTTTCGGCTATGGAAAACACAATCATTTTTCCTCATTTTCCTCAGCTAATCACATTTCCTATTTCTCAAAGGTTAGAA